ACGCATCAACATAAATGTTCATCATTGGGAGTACCCGAGCGCTCCAAAGGAATGTATTCATATTGATTATGCAGAACCTATTTTTGAGCATATGTTTTTGAAAATCGTCGATGCTCACTCAAAATGGCTAGAAACCTATCCAATGAAATCAAGCTCGACTTTCAAAACAATAGAATGTTTACGGGACTTTTTTTGCATGATTTGGATTACCAATATTGTTAGTAAGTGATAACCTTCACATGAGTTTAAGATACAGTGGATGGACAAAAATATGGAAACACCTTGTGAAATGCATGTTTGAAAAGAAAGATTGATTTTAATGAAATATGTAGGTGGCGCTGACGTTTTTGACTCTGATGACACCTATACAACTTCGTAAATGTGCTAAACAGTTCAGTTGTTGTCGGAGTACTGTTATGTGAGGTTGTCATTGCATTATGTCAGAGTTAACAGACTTCGAACGTGGGCAAATTGTTGGAGCACGTATGGTAGGTGCTTCCGTAAGCAAGGTAGCCGAGGTGTTTAGTGTTTCAAGAGGTACTGTATCGAAGATTTATTCCGCATATTTGAAAAGCGGAAAAAAAAAATCATCTGCTAAATCACAGCACGGACGAAAGCGTGTGTCCTGAGTGATCGTGACAGACAATCATTAAGGGCAGTTGTGACGAAAAATAAGAAAAACCACAGCTGCAAAAGTTACTGTTGAAATGAATGTTGGTGTTACCGAACCCTGTGGAGTACCAAAAACAATTAGAAGGGAGCTTCATAAACAGGGAATTGCTGGCCATGCTGCAATTGAGAAGCCACTCATCAGTGATGCTAATGTCCGTAACAGGAAAAGGTGGTGTTTAAGTCATAAAGCCTGGACTATAGAGCAGTGGAAGCGAGTAGTAGTAATATGGTCTGACGAGTCTTCTTTCACATTGTTTCCCACTTCTGGCCGAGTTTACGTCTGGAGAACGCCATCTCAAGCCTATAATACAGACTGTTTGTTGCCAAGAGTGAAACATGGCGGGGTTTCTGTTATGGTTTGGGCAGCCATATCGTGGTTCTCTGCTAGCCCCATGATAACTGTGTCAGGGCACATGACTGCCAAGACTTATGCGAACATTTTGGCCGATCAAGTTCATTCCATGGTACAAACTTTGTTCCCCGATGGTGAGGGTGTCTTCCAAGACGACAAAGCCCCTGTTCACACTGCTCACATTGTCCAGGACTGGTTTTCTGAGCACGAGGATGAGTTGTCCCATCTCCCCTGGCCACCACAGTCACCAGACCTGAATATTATCGAACCTTTTTGGTCTACATTGGAACGGAAAGTGCGTTCTCGTTATCCACCGCCAACATTGTTATCTGAACTTGCCACCGTTTTGCAGGAAGAATGGTATAATATTCCCTTGGCAAACATACAGGAACTGTATTTATCCTTTCCGAGAAGACTGCAAGCTGTTTTGGATGCCAGCGGGTTTCCTACACCATATTAAGCAGAGAAACATGTTTTTTTTAAAGGTGTTTCCATATTTTTGTCCAACCCCTGTATTTCTATGAAGTAACGGAATTAAACACAAAACTACAGCATCATTCAAACCATCTAGTAATGGGCAGGCTAAACGGTAAAGGATGAGCAGCTTCATTACACCATAAATGTAAATGGTCAGCTATGGCGACGACATATCGATCAGATGCATGATGGAGGAACCGTAACAGATGAGGTGTTTATACGTCCAGCTCTCGTGATTTCCAAAGAAGAGTGGAGTTCCAGAACCATGCAAAGATAATAGCCACCAGACATATGAGTATGTGTCGTCATCTCAATCTTCATAAAAGTTTCTTAAACACCATATACAAAAAATTTTTTGCACACATTCCCATTATTAATATCTAAAAGAAACATCTGTGACAACTCATATTTGGCCTCAAGGAGCATTTGATTGTATTTTTTCCTCAAATCACAATATTTTCACTTATACAAATTGCATATATTATTGCTAGAAATTCTCTGGAACCTTCTTTCTGCATTCTTTTTTCTCTTGAACTTTCTTTCTCTGAACTCTCTTTCTCATAATAGAATTTTCTAATGACCACCATGGTACTCTATGCATGCCAAATAGAACTATCATATCGAAGAATGTGACAATATTGATACAGCTTTTCCTGAATTAAAAAAATTTAAATGTTATAATGTTACTTTTTCTGATTATGTAAGGGTGACCTGGAAGTCTGTGAAAAACTGAGCTACGATGTCATAATAAAAACTGCCTGGGAATATGAAAAAGAAGAACTTATCGGATTCAGAGAATGCACAGACTGTTAAGCGTCCTAATGATCGAGCCATAATGGACTCATAAGAACTCTGAAAGCATTTATTCAGATTGTACCTTCCTCTGAAAATGAAATGTTTACTTAAAATCAAGAAGATGGCTGTAAAATGTAAACATAATAAACAAAAACCAAAATATCCATTTTACAGTTTTCCTCAAAAGTGTAATTAATATTTTAAATTAAAGTTTACTTTTTACTGCATATCTTCTGCTTCATTTTATGATTAAAGTAAGTCTTTATTGCTTTATAATATATTTAGTTTCAGATAGCATTGTATAATATATTTTCTAGGTTATATAACTAGGAGATTTTTTTTTTTTTTTTTTTTTTCAGTGATACACTTTTAAAGTTATATTTTCTCTTAATATGCTTTAAAATCTCTTAATTTCTCTTAATATGCTTTCTCTTAATATTCAAACTCTTTTCTGAGAACCTTTGAGTTCAAACTAACGAGCATTCACTGTATACAGACACATATTTTTTTATTTATTATTATTAATTTCATTTATCTCCTAGGAAATGAAATGTAAATACTAATGCAATGCGAGGTTTTTTGAAAGTCAAATCTTAGTACAGTCAAAAGTCTTTAATCCGGACTCGTCGGGACTTCGGCGATTCCAGATTATCGGTTTTTCCGGATTATAGATCATCAGTTTAAATCTGGTAAGATGGCATGCAGAAATTATAAAATTAAAAATATAATGCAACCAGAAAACTATTTGAAGTGATATTTATAACGACGAGGAATTTGATTCAAATCATATCAAAGATGGAGTACATCGAGATGAAACGCTACATTTAGTAAGGAATTATAAGCCGAATAAAATAAAAACATCTGCTCTGAAAGATAAGGATATTGCTGACAGATCAACTTCCAGTTCATAGCATGCCACGTCGTTCCCCCCGTCGTTGTCTCTCATATTTTTGAATAAAACTTCTATGACAAATGTGAAAAAAATACAAATTAATTTAATATTCGAACTTAAATCTAAAATTTTCAAAATATATGAATGAAATTCTCCAACATATCCAACATTTTACAGTAATTCTTAAGCATTTAGTAAGATTTAACTTTTAAATATTTTTTTAACTTTTTCTTAAAATCTCCCATTAAATTAGTATTTACATTTTGTTTTCAACAAAATAATCAAAATTCATATCAATAATTTAAAATTTATATTTATAATCTTAACAATGATGGCACAGGATTTGACTCCGTGTCCATTTTTACCTCTTTATCTTCTATACACCAAAGAGCTATTACATTACAACCACCCTTCATCTAGAACAATGGGCTTGCCCAGGAACAAAACCACTGCACATGCGCAGCTGATGTTGGAGTATATAAAACGGGTATGCATTGTCTTTCTAAACACAGAGCGATTAGTAACATAATGGGAAAAGCAGCTGATTTATCAGGCTTCAATGATAGTCAAATCGTTATGGTTCGACGACTGGGAACATCAGTATCATAAACGATGTGTTTGGTAGGTTATTCACATGCAGTTGTTGTGAGCACATATCAAAAGTGTGGAAATGGACAGTAGAAAAATGGAAGAAAGTTGCATGGTCCGATGAATAGGGTTTTCTGGTTCATCACATCAATGGGCATGTGCTAATATGCCGATTTCCAAACAAAACTCTGGCTCCCAGATGCACAGTTGGATGAAGACAAGCCAGTGGTGGGGTATTATGGTGTGAATAATGTTTTCATGGAGCACATTAGGACCCATAATCCCCATAGAACAATCCCTGAGATCTGTGCGCTACGTGAACATTGTTGCAGACCAGGTTCACCCATTCATGACATTATTTCCGGAGGGGGATGATGTTTACCAACAGGATAATGTACTATGTCATAAGGGTCAAATCATCAGGGAGTGGTTCAGGAAACATGCCACTGACTTTCATGTCTTAGCCTCCAAATTCACCTGATTTTAACCCAATAGAGTATTTGTGGTCCCACCTGGAAAACCAAATTCATGCTGCCACACTAGCCCCTCGCAGTGTGTGGGAATTGCAGGACTTGTTGGTGAGCGCTTGGTACCAGATACCTTAGACTACTTATCAGCACCTTATCAATGCCATGCCGTGCTGGCAGTTTTGAGGGCTAAAGGTGTCCTACATGTTATTAAACAGGTGGTCACAATGTAATGCCCTTCGGTGTATATGCTTTAATAATATAATTTGCACAAACTGTACCATAATAGAAAAAACTAAATGTAATCAAAACAATATATAGAATAAGTCTAAATAGAATAAATTTTCAGCTAGTGAACATATGAATGAAAGATATAAAATACAGCTAAAAGAATATATAAATCTAAACACAATCTTCTACAAAAATAATTTTAGAGCAATGATTTGCAAATTTTACATAATAAAAGAGGTTGGAAAATGGAAACAGATTACCTAAATAAAAGAATTCGGAAGCCAAACTATGTGGTTTAAGAAATATGTAATACAAAATAATGTCATAAAATTTTGAGGAATGAGGTTGTTTGATATATCTAAATCTATAGTATAATGAACCACAGTATAATGGACTTATGCTTTAACTAAAGAATGTAGCCCTTTACACTGCATTAAAAAATACATATACATATGGAAACATTACCTAGTTGTACATATCTAAGTATGTGCAACAGTTAAAAATTTTTTAACACAAAATCAAGTACCTAGTTTCCTTTTTCTCTGCACCTTTCATAGCTTGCCTCATTTGCTTTCTCCAATTCAAAAGTGACCTACAAATAAAATATATTTATAAATAATAAGATAAATTTAAACTTTTACTAGTTCCTTAATTTTATAAACAACCATATATAAAATTTAACAGAACAATCTTGTTCTACATTTCGTTAAGTAAACAATTTAAACAAATGCTAATCTTAATTTATTTTTTCTTCAGAATTTCCTTAAAATAACAGTACAATCAGGTGTGGCCCAAAGACAAACAAAAGGTAAGGAAACATTAGTGATGCATCATTATTTATTTCTTTTCAAGTATATTAACAAAACAGACGCAGGTCTAACTGATATTGCTCAGCCAAATGAGGTTATTGTAATCAACAGTAGTTATGCATTTATATAGACATTAATTACCTATTTGTTTAATTAGTATTTAAGCAGGGTAATTATTCCATGTAATAAAATAATTAAAATCTTCCAATGCTGCAATTTCACTTACCAGAATACCCATTTATGAGGCCCTACCCAATTTAAGAACAAAAAAAGAGCAAAAAGGAGGGCTAATGATCAAATACAGTAACTCAGATCAACATTTCTGTTAAATATCTGATATTGAAGTTAATTTTTTTAAAGTTGTTTCCATAGGTTTTATCAGAATCAAGGCAGCCAGGTTTAAATTTTGCTATAACGGTCACTTAAAAAGTAATGTGATTATGCTTTTAAAACTAATGGAAAAAAGGGTATAAAAATATATCAATAATATTTATAAGCTTCAATCAGAAGGAAATAATTATATGACATGCCATATCATTATAGGCAATATGAACAATTATACAAAATGTAACTAACATGTGTTTTGTATATAAGAATTTTTATATATCTCATATACAAAGCGATCAGAGATGTCAAAAATTAACATTTTAAGATCTTTAAAAAAATGTGCACTTATACAAAATACCTGAACAGTCATTAAAATCCTATGATGCATTAAAGTAAATATTTTTTTAGTTGTCAAAGCTGTGGACGAATAATTCTTTTACTCAAAGTTCTATTTAATTTTCTTCTCTATCTCTCTTTCGATAGATATATATATATTCATATATACCTATGAAAGCTATAAAATATGTAACTCAAAATTATTATTTCTCCTTGTAATTTGGCTATTTCCTATTTCTGTTCTAAATCATTTATAATATTATTTCTAGACTGCATCTTTCCATTTTATGCTTGTTTGCTTAATCCTCCTGCATAGCGACAGCTCGTATCCCATCCAGAATTTACACAAAGAAATCAAGTTTATAAATACCACTATTACTATTGTGCAGCACTTTGCTTTATGAGCACTAACATTAAATGTTTCGCTGCTCCATTCTGTCCTTTGTCTAAGAAGATCCAAATAAAATAAATAAATTGTATGGTGCATCTTGCACTCATAAATGCATGAATCTGTTTATTCCTATCAAGGCTTGTTCCATTATAAAAATAAAATTGTGTGTCTTGTTATGTACACCAATGCCTGCAAGTTTTTTCTACTATAATGCATTCCATCTGTATGCAAGCCACATCCATAACTATCTCATCCATGACTGAAAAATAGCTGGTGTCTTCTTTCCCATGCATCCTTAACCTCTTCGCGACGGGCGAATCATATATGCATTTCGTACGGACGCATGTAAGGCCCGGGCGGTTCACCCGTGCACTCCTGGAGAACTGGCCAAGTGAACGGGCAGTGCAGATATGCATTTTAAGCTGAAAACAATTTTAATAGCACTAGATGGCACTCTGTGTCCATTACATTTAAACTGAAAGTAGTTTAGTATTCTGACCTTAGATGTTTATATTCTGGCTGTTTTGGTATTTTGCTTGTCAGCTGTGGCTGGGGAGGGGGGGAAATCGTAATGTAAACAAACGCAGCTCGCTCTTAAATCGCTGCGTGCTAATGAAAACATTTCGTATCTGATTATATCCAATCCTTTGGTTATTCTATTTTTTTCCTCTACTTTGTACGGTCTTTAGGGTTACTGTGCGGAGTTTTACGTTTGCATTGCCTTCAGATATATTCCGTTCCTTCTTTTTTATTTAGGAAAGCCTCACTCCAGTCTATTATGACGGGAAGGGGCGCTATTTATCAGAGGAAGAATACCCTAGTATGGTTAGTGAACCATTTACTAATGCAAATGAGAGTACTGATTCATTTTCTAAGGAGTTAAAATTGATACTTTTTCTAAGAGTTACAAGGTGACTTCTCTGTGCTTCGAAATTTACCACGCTCGTTTTCATTTTAAATTTTGTTACTTCTTACTGTAAATAGTCTTTATTGTGTTCTTTTTAATAATTTTAAAACTTTATTGATGGATTTTATCAATTAAAACTTTAGAATAATTTGAATAGCTCTTCCGAAAAGTATTAGGGAAGATAAGCAATTTTTTAAGTATATTTCCATGTAAAATAAGAAATAAATGTTTTAAGGGCTAATTTTAACATATATAGAGCTCAGTAATAATCTAAAAAAAGATGATACCAAAAAATACGATGCTAGAAGCGAACTTTTGTTTTTCTGATTTTTGTTATAAAATTAGGCTTAGTGATGCAAAACCTCCGTCCTGTACGGTGACTGCCTTCGATTCTCTTCCGTCCCGCACGAGCGTTTTAAACAAAGGTGCGCCGTCGCGAAAAGGTTAATTTACAAGAATTTACAGAAGTCATCTATTGAATTATTAAATTTTTAATTAGTTGACAGGATTATTACTTGCTGCATTGAACTTCAATAGAAAATTTATTCAGCCAGCTCTTCAAATCGTCGCTTGTGTGATAAATTGATAAATTCAAGGCAATGTGTAAGATGTGAGTTTACGAAATTTTTTTTGGTGTTTATAAAGCGAAAGTGATTTTAAGAAATGTGATGAATTAAAAATTACTTTGATGGTCACCAAACTTCAAATTTACTTATTGCTTCCCTTCCTTTGGCTTAGATTCCTTCCTTAGATTTGTTTATGAAAACTTAAAAGAGCACAGAAACAAATCTAAGACTGAACATCAAAATTAATTATCTCTGCAAAATACCGCAAACGTTATTGTGCAATATGTGCGGCATAATTCTTCTACATGTGACATTACACAATTGGAATCAACAGCTGCCGGTATTCGGAAAATAAAGAACTAAATAAAGGAAAAGGAAGAGACTTACTAATCTGGAGTGTTTCTGATTCTAATTTTCAAAAGACTGCATTAAATTTCCAGAATAGAATCAATCTTCGCTTGGGTCGGGTAGATCGCAAAAACTTTTAGTCCTATTCAATCCAGATTGGACAGTGAAAAAAGTAAGTTCGGTGCTTCAGAGATTAGAGATTTTGCGGAGAAAGGGTGAACCTTCAAACCTCCGTACTGTATAATGTATTGGAAAAAAATTTAAAAAATTGACTATTCGATTACTTTTCTTTTATTTAAGCCATTCTAAATATTATTCCTTAGAAAGCTAATCTGTGCAAGAACACACCCATTTTTGGAAGTTTATCTATACTTCGGCAGTTACTGCAACTATATTATTATAAATATTCATGCATATGCTCATAATATACGCTTAACGATGATAATAAACAAGAATATGAACTCACCATGTGCAACGAGAATGCAAATTATTAAAATCTCGATAGAAATCCAAACATGTGTAGTAAAGGAGATTAAACATGTGTAGATCCAAACATGTGTAGGTGGGAGGAAAAGAATACCGAATGTACCGGAATTTTCTACCGTTTTCGCAATTCTTTGACCAATAGAACGACATGCACCTGTCTGTACTCATAGGTTACGTTAATGCAGAGAAAGGGGGGAAAAGCAATTTTCGGGAGTACGATTCACCATCTAACGTTGCATATAAGGAAGAAAAGTTTATTTAGTTTTGGCTTTGGTACGAGGAAAAAATGTGCATTCATTAAAAAAAAAAGCACTAAAAGCAAAAAATAAGCACTAAAAACAAACAAATAGGGGCTTTAAAGAAAAAGTAAGCACCTATAAGGGCCTTTATATTTTATTTTCAAATATAAGGACTTTTATAAGCACTTGTAAGGACTGCTACGAACCCTGACATAACTTGAATCTACAAGTTATTATTCTTAATTTAAATTTTTGTATGTTTATGTTTTTATTTCAATTACGTAATTTGAAGAATCTTATGTTGATACATCATAGTTAAAAACTTTTACACTTTACACAATGCTAAAAGCCAGTTATCTTGTATAAGGAATGGAGGTTTTTAATTGCTATTGTATTTAAGCATCCCACAGCCATTAGCAAATAATTACAGTGATTTGCTTTGTAAGGACCTGCCTATTATTATTATTTTTTTATAGTAGTTTGTTAGTTTCCTTTGTAATTTATTTCTAAAGTTAATTTTACATTGCTTTACAATAATAAAATGTGGTTAGTTTTCTAATGAATGAATAAATAAATTTAATAGCATTTTATGAATATGTAACAGAAATATTTTAGTTTTATATAGAATACAAAAGTTTCTTTAAAAGCCTTTCAAGACGACTGTCAAATTTACATTTTGGTATTTAAGCAAAGATTTTTCAAGAACTGAATTCTTACAATTATTTCTTAAAAAAGTAGGATTCCAAATTTATTTATAATATCTTGACTGAAAAATGAACTTGCAAATGTTTAAAATTGGGCTAAACATTTCAAAAGAACTCTAATTTTTGCATCAATTAGTCAAAAGTGTTATATTTAAATTTTAGAAAAAAATTTTATGATTTTTCACAAAATTATATTTTATTTGTTTAGCTAATACTCTATGGCTCTTTTTATAAAGGCTTTTCTACTGCTAAGCCTTTTCTTCTTTGAAGATGGGAAAAATGTAAGATAATGTTACTCAAAATTAGCATTAATTTACCACTAGTTCTTTTCATTCTCCATTTTAATTTGGTTTTCTCCTTTTTCTATAGTAAACTGTTTAAAATAATTATTTTGGACTGTGTCTTTCCAATTCATGCTTTCTTGAACCCTTCTGCATAGCAACTGCCATAACTTTTAAATGAATTTAAAAATTGAAACTTTAAATGGATGCTTAAATAGTTTAATTTTAGAATTTTTAATTATTATTTTTGGATTAATTAATAAATTAGTTGTTAGTTATTATTTTATTTGAAAAGTTTAAAACTGATATCACAGTTTTAAATACACAAATTGCTGTTTATTTAACTCAGCCCACTTAATAAACTCAAATAGTTTTGCAACGGAAGTGATTTTAATAAGCGGCAGGTACTGTATTACATATATAAATGCATGAGAAGGTGCATTAAAGAATACCTAAATATGTAAGTTCTAAATTTTATTTATAATAGCTTCCTGCCTATCCTAAAAATAATAACATGCTTATAACATATCTTCCTGAAGTGAGTCATTTTGAAATTAATTCTTGTTATACAATTCTTACATACCACTCATGACACAAGCATTTATATAAACTGAAATCTTCTAACCAATTATAATGATAAATTTACAAACAAAAACCTTAGTTAACCAATACAACTATATAAATACAACAATAATAAAGTACAATCACAACTTCATTATTCTTAAACTGTTCTTTCACTTGTCCCTGTGCTGCAATTTAAAGGAAGTTATGTCTGCCAATTCTGTTCTACTGTCATCATATTTTAATGAATATACAAAATCTGTGTGCCTGTTGCTTTACTGTGTTATTATTCAACAAAAATATGCTTTAGAAAAGATGACCTCGGAAAATTTTATCACATCAAGTTTAAATCACCCCAATTTTTTTTTTACTTTATATATATACACAAGCACTGAAATTAAAAAAATTATCTCATTTTATAGCCACGGAGTCATCATACTACATTCATAGCAGATAACATCTCACATAACTAATTAACATTAATAATAATAAAATGAAATAAAAATTTCTCGAAGTATTTCTTTTGCACATTAAAAAAAAACTCACTATTTATTTACATAAATATAAACTATTCATAACTTTCCAACTGCCACATTTGTTTCGCATATTACAAGATATTCAACCTCTCACAGATTCTTATTCGTACTTTCTGGTTATCTGCACCTCTTTTGAAAAATAATGCACAGACGCAGTGATATAGCTTCCATGCAAAACAGTTTTAAGGCTGCCATAAAATGGCAAGATAAGGCAGGGTTGCCACATTTGGCGACAAAATTGGCGATATGCCATGGACGGATGGAGAACCTTCTGGAACAAATTCTTACTGGTTTAGCCCAGAATGTTCTCGAACACCAGTCAAAAGCTATATAAACCCTGCTGGTATACAGAGAGTCAGTTAGTATCGAGTTGGTGTCTCGTCTAGCGAGTCGATCGAGTTGACAGCCAGGCAGCGAATGGCAAGTGGGTCGTTGAGTGCATCATGAGTTGTAGTGTGGAGAGTGTCGAGAGTATGTGGACTTCCGCGAACGACCGAGCAGAGTCGGGAGCTGTACTCCGATGCTTTGCAGGGAGTGGAGAAGCTGTCTTCACTGTTATTGCCTGACAGTGTGAAGGCTGTGTCGCTGATTGTTCCAGCATGTTTATAGTAGATCTTCAACGACTGTAAATGTGTTTTGGAGCTGTCCTGATTAATACTGGTAAATAAAGAGTGTTTCGATACTTCATCAAGTGTCGTAGTTATTCACTCCAAATCCACACGAACCACGTACGAACGTGAAAGAAAAAAATAGCGTAATAACTGGTGTCAGAAAATAAAAATGCAACAATATTCACATAGCACTATGTCACAATAATATGCAACCTGTGCCATCCACAAAATGTATTTAAGTGGCAACCCAAGTATTCACCTGTATGCACCAGACAAGCACTGGTCATTGGTGTTTGTTTAAGTTGTGCTGACAATGGAGTTTTCGTTGCAATGAGCACATTTTGTTTCCTTGTAAGGAATAATAATGTGAGTATGGAGTTTGCTCGCTGATGAAACGGAGTTTTACATTTTTTTCAGAAATATAGTGCTTTTTCTAAAAGTGAATGCAAAATTTGTATTCCATCAAGTTGTACTTTGTAAATGACCAAATTTTATGGATTAAAATTTGTGTTTTGATGCCATATTTGTGCAATTTGCAATTTTTTTAAAATCAAAAACAGATAGATGTGTACATGGGAAAACAGTAGTGTGTACAATAACAAATTCCTGCAATTCTCTGATGCTTCTTTTAAGCACAAATAAACAGATGTGTGTATGGAGGAAAAAGTGTGGAATGCCAAATTTCTGCAATACTATGGTATTTTATAAGCGGAAACAGAGTGAAATTTTATGGTATTTTATAAGCGAAAACAGATGGGAAGAACACCAAGTAAGATTATTATGGATACTTAATTATTATATTTTTAATTTTATTAATTGGCTGCTGTTTTCTGTAATTCCTAGTGCAACATTACATTCGAAAACAGCTGCTGTTTTTGAGTCTTTGCTTGGAAAAAAAAAATTAGTTGCTAATGGTTGCCAACTTTCAGAAAGGGGATATAGATAATCAGAAAGTACCTTCATTATCAAAACGGAATAGTGAGTAGAACATTATAAAATCTTCTAAATCAGTTTATTATTTTCAAATGAGCTCATTTTAACAAATAAGTTGCTTTAACACACATATCAGTTTTATTAAATTTCAAAATCAATTAAAATCATAAATAAAACCTAATTTCAGATTTACCCAGATTGTATTCTATGACTTTATCTTATTATTAATAATTAAAATTATCTTTTAAATGTAGCATACTGATTATGCTTATTTCTTTCTTTAATAAGCAAGGAGAAAAATCATACTTCTGCAGTAAAAATTTTAACATTAAAATTATCAGCTGAAACAAAAAAAAAAAAAAAAAAAAAAAATTGCAACTAGCACATTCACTTCACATGACATACAAAGGAATGCATAGAATTTCTTCTACTGTTTTCATTTACAAGGAGAATGACTATATACACATACCGCAAATCACCTCTTCCTAAAACCTTAATATCTTTACAACACTGTTTAATTTCTTCAGTTGTCAACTTATGATCTTTAATATCATCATCATCAAATACAATCTGCAAGAAAGTTAAAAAACTGTAAAATGACTGTTAATTTGATTGAATCAATGACAGTTAATTTGGACTGCCTTATAGCATTTCATGATACTAGTCATTTCACAGATATTAACATATCTTTCTCACTTCCTATAATAAAAATATACTTCAAGCTTTATATACAGAAATTTTGTTATTTATTACTAAGTATTTTCACAGTAAGTTTATTCATTAAGCATAAATATGAGGTATGTTATCAATCAAACTGTAATGAAAAATTAAATTTCATGGTATTTATAAAATCATATTCTTAAAGAAAGACTGAAATTTGGTATATTCTTAAAGAAAGTTACAATAAGATCATAAAACAAAATGAAGATCATAAAATGTATTCATGGAAGCAAAAAACCATGCAAAATATGAGATACATAAAAAATGGATAAAAGGATAGCTCTCATTTAAAAGGATACTAATACCCAAGAAATGCAACCTCTTTTACAGTTCTTTACACATAATTCTGTGAAACATTTAAATAATTTACAAAAAAGTTATATATCAGATATTAAATTTACAGAAGTAAATTTTTTACATATTTCACAAATGCCTCACAGAAATGCAACCTCTTTTACAGTTCTTTACACATAATTCTGTGAAACATTTAAATAATTTACAAAAAAGTTATATATCAGATATTAAATTTACAGAAGTAAATTTTTTACATATTTCACAAATACCTCACAGCATGCACCTTTACTGGCATGGTAGGCACCTTTAATCACTGGAAAGATTTACTCAAGCAAGCTCCCTGATGTCTCAGTTAAAACAAAAAGAATAATGATACCTCTTTCAACAAGACTGCTATCCAACTCACTACCATAAAGCTCATTATTGAGACCACTTAAAAGAGAATCTTTAATAAAATTTGAAACAGAATCTACATTTGTGAAAGCCTCTCAACAAAAATTTGCCACAAAAGTAGAGAGAATGCCCAGGACGAAGATGATTTGCTAATGCAGTGGCCATTCCAATCTTCAGACTTGAATGCCACGTAATTTTTTCTTGTAGAATTTTTTTACGGATATTATCTTTCTGTCTCCCATTAAGATCGATGATCATCAAAAGTATACAATCAGTGCTATGGCTTTGGTTGACTGTGATATGTTAGAATGCATGTAGTGCAAAATGAATTTAAACATAAATATATATGTTGTGTCAAAAAAATAGAACAAACTGACCATCTGTGAAATATGAGAAGGGGCTTGATCAGTTTTCCTTTGTTTTAGTACAATAAAATTTGATATTGATTGCATTAATTACTTTGTATGAGTTTTAAAAATGTTTTATAAAATTACAAATGACTGTATTTTAACTTTACTTGTACTTTTACTCTGTGCTTTATCTTACATGTCACAGAATTCCCAGCAGAGCAAACAACAATAAGTTTGACCTTGTTTTGACTATATTTAGCAAACTTCTGAGAATTTCAATAGCCAGTTTTTGTAAATGATATTTTTATAATATTCAATAACCATTTCATGCACTCACAGACTCTGACATGTAATTTTGTTCTGCACCATGCTATAATGATAATTTACTAATAAATATGTACCTCCTTATTGCAATCATGCTCTCCACTTTTTCTTTTTAATTAAATGCTCAGTCTTATTATATTAGCTTCATCATATTAACCATTTGTTATTATAAAAAAGGTCACAGGTTGGAATGATTATATTCCAGAAGTTTGCATCGTTAAAATGGGGACAACAAAAATCTTCTGCACTGTCAAACTGCAAATCACTTACGGATTTACATAATATGTAAAATAAAACTATCAAAAATTAGTACCCATTGAAAAAAATTAAGAGTTAATGAAAACATATAAATAAAATGATTAATTTCAATATATATATAAAAAATAAAGTAGAAATAATGTTGATAAACAGGAAATCACAAAATTTATTATTTTAAAACACTGCAATCATACAATACAAAGTCTTTAATACGGACGTCTATAATCCGTACCTCAAAGCTAAAAACTTTTTGCGCATGCATAGTGTTTACGCATGCATATAATACCTTTGCGCATGCACATATGCATTTACACATACACATAATATGTTTACGCATGCGCATTTAATGTATAAACGGACGGTATAAGCTGCTAAATGATCTAATTATCTATTTCAGTAATGTTGCAGATTGCGTTGTACCTTAATCTTCTAACTGGATCCGGTTTATTAATTTGCAAGACGTTAGAGCATTTTATAAAAGTAAGCTTGAACTTGATTATGTCAAAAGAATTTTGATGCTTGAGCTGCCAAAGGATCTACAAAGCAAAGTATTTTCGATGTCCATCAAACAAAAAGTGGAATTCTGCAAAAAATGGATACAAGCATATCCTTTGTTTCTCTAACCATTCCGAAATCGTTTATCAATTTCACGCGCCTCTGGGAGGGGGCGGGGACCATCGCGGATCGCATAAACTGGAAGTTGATATGTCAGCACTATCCTTATCTTCAGCAAGATGTTTTTTATCTGGTTTATAATTTTTACTAGATGTAGTATTTTAGCCGATGTACTCCGTCTTGATATGATGTAATCAATCCTCGTATCATAATTCGCTTCCGATACGGAAGAAAGTGACACAGAAGAAGTTATTGAAAAATGAAAAATTTCGATTGACAAATTAGTCGGTATTCGCGACATAGCAATTATACGACTTGAACAGCGGAATTTTGTAACTGAACAAGAAATTATGTCCGTTTATAGAATTAAAGAGAAAGTATTAGCACATAAAACAAAGCAACTTAAACAACTTAGATTGAAAGAAATGTTTAATAAAGTAAACATAGAAATATAAAGCGCTTTTTTTTTTTTTTTTTTTTGGTAAATTTTGATACCCTTTAGATCATAATTGCTCTTTATTTCATAAATTGTGGTTTCATATTTTTAATTTCATAATTTTTGCATGCCATCTTACCAGATTTAAATTGATGATCTATAATCCAGAAAATACCCTAATACGGAATCACTGAAGTCCGGATTAAAGACTTTGTAGTGTACATGCATGCTACAATCTGAAAATTTTAAATTGCATTCTGATGCTTCCATTAACATTTTAAAAAATTTTACAGAAAATTAAGATACACAAAACATGGAAGGAAGGGAAGAGGGCCGATTTTCAGATTCCAGTTTAACAAGTTCATTACTTCAAAACAAAAACAGTGTCAAGTTAAACAGACGCGAGATAACTTACTAGTTTTAGAATTAATCTTCAGAAATTCAAAATACAGAACATAAAATTAAATATTCCAATTAAATACTGAACAGTGAATAGGGAGAACTTTGATTGGTTTGAACTTTGATTTGAACCTTGATGAGGTAAGAACTTTGATTGTTTTTCATTTATCTGCTCCTCTAGAATAAGCTGCATTCCGATAGTAAACAATAAATAGGGTGAACCTTCAACATTTGATTCTGAGACTGATGCATGTTTACTGCAATCTAATGCAAAAAACATATCGAGATAAGTTATTAAGAATAAAAATACAAACAGAAAAGATACTCTGCATAAATTACAACTGGATAATCCAAAGAAGAAAAGCCAAATCCATCTTCAAAAAACAAAACAAAACTGACATAGTTGGTACTATGCATTCGAGAAATAAGAAGCAGAATGGCTATTAGCTACAAAACTAAATATTCGATTATGAAGCTAAACAATAAGAGCTATCAACTATAGAAATACAAACTTGAAATGATTCTAAAAAAAGAAAATTGATGAGATTTAATCGCAAATGATACACTAAAAGAAATCAATGCTGAGTGGATAAAATAACGTGAACAAGCAGAAGCTACAACAAGTTTCATCATAGAAGACAACCAAATCGTATGTATAAGAAATAAAACAACAGCTGTTCAAAGAACACATCGACAAAACGCTCGAAATCGTAGAACTGCAAGAAATTGATGATGAAATAAATGATAGTCACATAGCAGCACTGTTAGTAAGCGACTTACCAAAAAGCTACAAAAATCTCATTACAGCTTTAGAAGCAAGCCCAGAAGAAGAATTAATGTTGGACTATATAAAAATGAAACTCATCGACGAACGTTAAGAAACAACTGTCTTCATTTAAAACAACTGCCAAATTTTGTGTTAAAATGAATTTTAACACAAAATTCAAGCATTTCAATCAATGGAGATGCAATTATTACAAAAAATTAGGAGACTTAGAAAAAGAATGCAGATTTTCAAACAACAATAAAGAAAAAAACAAAAACAAAAATAACTCATTATAGCTTTAAAAAAAAAAATCAAAAATGAAAATTTGAGAAGACTGAGAATTACATGGTTGAAGTCACCAGAGAAAGAAAATTTTAAAACTCAAACTGGTCAGTTGATTAAGGAGATACTTGTCATATGACTGATAATAAAAAAATTTTTCTCGAAATTAGATAGAATCAAAACCGAGCAAATAACAGTTGCTAATGGGACTCAGATGAAGTCCGAAATCATTCAATAAGGATATATTCATACTGTATAGATGATGAAGATAACAAAATAAAAGTAAGACTCATAGACATTCCTGACCTAAAAGTAGTATTAATATCAGTACAAAAAATTACAAACGGGTTTACAGTCGTGTTTGAAGAAGATATTTTCAGAATAAAGGGGAAAAAAATAAAACTATAAGAATTGCAAAAGCAGGAGAAAATTTAGTCAAAACTGCAGCTGCAGAAGAAAGTGAAAAGAGCATATATCTTTGATATAGAAGACTTAGGATAGGACACAGAAATTATGAAGCGATCAAGAAGCTACAGAATGATGACATGGCAACCGGAATAAGTATTCAACCGAGGAACTAAAAAGGAAAAAGAATGAGAGTGCTGTATCAGAAGCCAAATGCCTCATTTGCCATATCCCAAATTAAACAACTATATAGCAAAATCAGTTCTAGACTTAATACATTTGGACATTTGTGGGCTCCTGGTACAACACAATTAGGAGGGAAAAAATA